CCCCAAAACCCCAAAACCCCAAAACCCCAAAACCCCGTGGGAAAAGATACTTATTGATAGATTTTAGGATTGTTTATTAAGCTCTAGAACTTTATCAACCTCGCCTTCGAATTCGCTCATGTTTGCTATTTCCATTAGCTCGCTAATCCCATGGCTCTTTCCCTCTTCTTCTAAAGTGGTAATAAGATTAGTCAGTTGTGGTTTAGTAGAGGCACATGGTAGTGTAGTTATGTCAAATGAAAGGCTTACCTTTAATTAACTTGGAGACTGATGATACTGATTTCTCATTAGAAATCAATTTTGAAATCGAACTAATTCCTTTGGGATTGTCTTCTAGAAGATTAGGCAGAAAGTTAGAATAGCACTTACCTTTCTGTGCGAGGTCCTTTATCTGGCTAGATGGCAAGGTATGTCTTGATACCTTGAGATCAGCACCTTCGTAGTCTTCAGAGACCTCTGGAACAGGCTCAACTTGGTACTCACCTTTCCAAATTGACTTCTGCTGAGCCAGTTCTTGGCTCTTTTCATTGGTGTTGCTTCTGACGAGAGACTCTTCATTGAGGCTCTTGAATTCCTTTTCTTCCTCAAATGACTGGTTGATTTGGTTCTTAGCCTTTCTTTTCATCTGACTGGCTAGTAATGCTTTTTCTATTGAGTCGATCTTGTATTCAAGCATATCTAAAGATGTTGTGATGTTGATGACATCTCTTCCTTCGTTCAGACCTTTGACTTGGTCTTTGAATTCTAAAGCACGAAGACCGAGGGCTGTCCTCTTGCTCTTATAACAGCAAATAAGATTATAAACCATATCTAATGCTCCATAGCTGTCTTTGCCTGGCTTGGCTGCTCTTAAATCATTGTCTTCTTCAGGGTTGAGCATTTGTTTCATCTTCAAGTCACTGATAACCTTCAAGTCATTAACTGTATCTTGCAAGAAAAGTTGTCTAGTGATGGGGTACATGATGAATCCGAGCAGAGCAACCAAGAAGGAGAAGAGCCCTCCTAGCTGTGAAGCGATGTAGAATATCCTAAACAAAGTTCTATCTTCAACCTTTTCTATCTTCTTTTCTGTAGAGGTCTCGATTCTTGTATCTACAGTCGTGCTAGCAAGATTTCTACCGCTCTTGAAAGGGGTGGAATAGTCATAGAACTGATCGTATCTGTTATAGCCATTTGATAGCTTGAATTTGAGATTTGCCATCTCTAAGATGAGGTCCAAAGTTGTAACGTAATAATATCTTCCTCTCTCTACAGTCCAGAAGTTCCTTGTCCTCCCATCTATGTCATGCACTTCGTTTCGAGTCAAGTGGAACTGATAAGTGTCGAGGCCACCAGCCTCTATCACAAATTGTCTACCAGATCTGAGAATATACGTGATCGGCTGTACAGGTGTATTATGGTTGTAAATGCCTTCAACCCAATGAAAAGTTACAGGCTGCTCTGCTACGGTATTGATATTAGTCAAATTGGCACAGTCATTTACTCCATTGTCATCTCAGTACACAATATCTAGCGAGAAGGTAGTCTGATTGCTTAAATCCCCAACCAATACCAAATCAGTTACATTTGATGGACACTTCATATCTGCGAGAGGGAGGTAGGCTAGCTGGGATCTTACAAATGGATGGAAGTCATCCTCAGTACAATTCTTTACATCAATGGTCTTCGGAGTTGCTCCACTAACTCTCCAGACAAATTTGAACATTGTTGGATCATATTGCCTACCCACAAGATTGATCGCCACTGTGAATCCATCTGCGAATGGGTGATAGACAGTTGTATCATTGTGAGAAGTGCCAGGGACATACATCTATACCACCAGGGTGTGTAAATTTTAAAACCTACCTCTCTTGCTTGGATGGTGTAGCTCCAACTCCAAGTTTCTTCCAGGTTCCTGTGGCCTACTTCTCCAGTGGAATCCATATTCCTTCTGTTCGAAACATTAGAGACATCATCTGCTTCCCAAGGATCAGTGATAAGAATATAGCCGTAAACTGCCATTATTAATAAGATAATGACCACAAGGATGCCTCCTCCTATAGTCTGGTAGTAGTCCCGAGTGACTATTTTGTTCTTCTTCTCATCGAACCTCTCTTTTTTGGAGAAGGAAATTGGTTTCGCAAAGATGTCGATGCTTCTAATAGCTCCTGTGATTGCTCCGTATTGCACCATTATTATATTAAAAATTTATACAAAACTTTATTAAGGGGTTTTGGGGTTTTGGGGTTTTGGGGTTTTGGGG